GAAAATTAAAATAAATAAAAAGAAGTCGAAAATTAATTAAGAAAAAGCTTAGAAATTTAAATAAAAAAGGAAGTCGAAAATAATTTAAAAAAAGAAATCGAAAATCAATTAAGAAAAAGCTTAGAAATTTAAATAAAAAGGGAAGTCGAAAATAAGTTAAAAAAAGAGATTGAAGATAATTTAAAAAAAGAACTTGAAAATTAATTAAGAAAAAGTATAGAAATATAATTAAGATAAGAACTAGAATAAGAATTAGAAAAAAAAATGTAAATTAAATTCGAAAAATCAATAAGAAATGAACTTAAGGATAAACTAAAAGTTGAACTTTTACAAAAATTATAAAAAGAAAATTAAAAAATAGAAAATTAATTAAAATAAAAGGAAATATCTATTAATATAAAATAATTATTTAATATTTTAAATAAGAAAGTTTATTTTAGAAATCTAAAAAATGCATTTAAAAAGTTAAATTTATTCTAGAAAAATACAATATAAAAAGATTATAACTTAACTTTAAATAATTAGGATATAAATAATAATATTTAATCATATATAGATACATTTAATGATAATATAAATCAAGAAAAAATATATAAAGATTTTAATACTAATAATAATTTATTTTAAATTGAAAATAATCTAGGTAATGACTTTAATAATAATTCATATATAAATGATAAAGAAAAATTAGATTTAAGAAATAATAATTATTCTTAATATAAAAATAATGATATTAATTATTTATTAAATTCTAATAATAAATATTAAAATTCTGATAATGATTTTTAATTAAGAAAAGATCATTTTTTAAATTATAATACTGATTTTTATAATAATAATTTTATTGAAAAAAAATAAGATTTTTTTGATAAAAATGATTAGTTTTATAATAGATTTTTATGTAAAAATAATGAATTTGAAAATAATTTATCTTTAAAAGAAAATTATTCATTGAAAAATAGTAATATTTAAAATAAAATAAAAGACTTTGAAGATATAGATGAAGAAATAGAAAAAAAAATGAAATATTTACGTATTAAAAATGTAATATATACTAATTAAAAGGAAAAAATACAAAACAAATATGAAATATAACATAAATCATGCTCGAACTCTCCCAAAAGAACGAGTTTTTTTCCTAAAAAATTAATAGGAACCATTTTAAATGAATAATAAAATGAAAATTTTTTATAATAAAAAATTTTTAAAAATGGAAATTCGCCTTAATAAATATTAAATGCTAAAATTTTATATGAATGATATATTTTTATTTATTTTTATTTTATTTTTTTTCAAAATTCTTCTTTATTTTTATTAAAAATATTTTATATATTTCCATTTATTTTTTTCCATTTTTATTATTAAGTATTTTACATTATTTCCTTTATTTTTTTTTATATTTAAGACTATATATCAACTTTTATATAAATATCTCCTTTTATTAAAAAGCCAAAAGGTAAATTATTCAAATTTTCCTATAAAAAAACACTCTAAAGTTATATTTAATTTTAAAAAAGATAAAATACATCAAGTTTTTCTGCTAAAAAAGCTTATTTTAGGTCTTTAAGGGTTCTATAATGCATATCTTTTTAAGAAAAAGATAAAAATATAGCCAAAAAATATATGTTTTGGCTATTTTTAATGATATTTAGTTATTATTAAGTCATTTATTTAGGTTAAATTTAAATTTCAGTTAAAAATTTTTGAAGATTTTCTTAATTTTTATTTCCTTCGAAAAATTTTCCTTTGTAAGGATTTTCACCAGGATTTTCTAAATATAAAATTTTCGGGAATTATTTTATATTGAATTTTTGGATTAAATTTTTTTCCTTTATATCTAAAAAAACGAATTTTTCTTTGTTTTTTTAGGCTAAATTTTTTATTAAAGGATGAATTTCATCTTTTTCGCTAAATAAAATTATTATATTCCTATTTTATTTTATACTTCGGTCTATTATTTGCTCGTAGTTTTATACTTTCAAGTTCTAAATAACTACATTGGGCATCTATCTGCTCACAAACGATAATAAAGAGTCATTATCAGTGAGTTTTCCTGTATATTAAGTACCTAAGACAGACTTTTCTTATAAGTAAATTCTTATTTAGGGAGTTTAGACTACTTTAAATTCCTCAAAACATAAAGAGTCTTCCTTAGAACAGTTTATAGAGGCTACTTTGAAGTATTACGAGTTTTTATTGGCAAATTATATATAAGAATCTTTTATTTAATTTATGCTTTGGTTGTTTTTTGGATTGAAGAAAAGTATTAGCCAAAGTTCTTTTCTTTTAAGAAATTAGGAAAGATTTCCAATATTTAATTAAAATACTTTAGTATTATCGAAAAGAGTATTTTTATTAGTTTACTTTTTTTGGCCAAAAAAAGAGGAAAAAATATCATCAAAATTGAAAGAAGATTAAAATCCTTGATTAAAATTAAAACCGGAATTTCCTCCAAAAAAAAAATCTCCATTATCATTATCATTATTTCTATATTATTATTATTATTGCTATTATTATTAATTTTATTTTAAGCCTTCTTATCCTAAATTATCGTATATTTTACGCTTTTTTTCATCAGATAATACCTCGTATGCTTCTACTATTTTCTAGAATTTTTATTCGGCTTGTTTAGGGTTTTATTAATTTTTATCAGGATGATATTTTAAAGCGAGCTTTTTAAAAGCTTTTTTGATTTAGGGTTGTGTGGAAGATCGGGTAACTCCTAATATTTTGTAATAATCAAGGGTTCGTAATAATATTAATTAGAATAATATTAATAATATTATTTTAATTTGCATTAATTAATATTTTATTTTTTTAAAGTAATTTATTTATATTATAAATAATTATTTTTATTTATTTATTTTAAACTAAAAAAAATAAAAAAAATAGTTATTTTTTATACGTGTTGTTTTTATAATAAATTTCTATTTATTTATTCATATATAATATTATTAATTTTAATAGGCAATATATTTAATTTTTGAAAATATTATTTTAAGCATTTCATCTTAAAATTAAACCTTTATTTTAAATACCTTAAATTACATTTCTATTTCTGAAAAATTATTATAATTTTTAGTTTTTTTTCCTTTAAAATACTAAAAATAAATAAAAAGCCCTAAAATTAATAAAATAATTCCAGTTCCTAAACAAGCTACTAATAATCCTATTACCTATAAATCAGTCATTAATATAAATATAGCACCAAGATTAATCATAAAGACTATTATAAATAAAGCTCCTTCAATAATATTTAAAAAATCTACTAAACAAGGTCTCATTTAAGAAATTACAAAGGCTAAAAATATTCCTATACTACTAGTGGTTATTAATTAAATTAAAATAGTAATTTTTCCAGTTCCAAATTAATCGAAAAAATGTATGGCTCCTAAAACTATTAGTTTTGCCTGTATATATATTATTAAAAATGTTTAATTATATTTAACATCTAAAGAATGATCCAAATATTATATATTAGGATAAATGAAAATACTTAAAGGATAATATAATGCGATTCCCTAAAATATAGAATAATATATTTATATTTATATATAAATATATATATATACATATATATATATATATATTTATATAATTATATTTAATAATGTATTAGTAAAATTAGTTTTTGTTAAAGTTTTTTAATAGCTGATATAAAAAAAAAAAAAAAAAAAATTATAAAAATAATGAAATAAATGGTAACAAAAACTAATTTTAAATATATAAATATAAATAAAAATATAAATATATGTAAATAAAAAATATGAAGGTTAAAAATAATTATATATTATTATGAAATAATATATAAAATATATATATAATTTTATAAATTTTTAAATTTATATATTTATATATATATATATATATATTTTTATATATTATACTAAAATTCCTATTGCCATTAATTATATATGTGCATCTGATAAACATGCTATTTCTGATTATCTTTATAATGTAGCTGGTTCAATATTCCAATCGCATATACTTTTTATTATATAAATATAAATTAATTTTTATATTTATATTAATACAATGTATCAATAAATGTTTTCATCAACGGTAAAAATAAAGTACCTCCTAAAAAATTAAGAAATTTAGTAAAATAATATTATGTATGTTTAATTGTAGCATCAAATCCTTTGCTATCTTTACCTAGTGTGTTTTTTTCTGTATGTTTTACAGCTTGTTTAGCTAGAAGATAATATATTATTGCAATAAAAAGAAATATATATACTAAAGTTTTAAAATCTTTAATAAAAAGGAGATTTGCTTAATCTTTTATATTATTTTATTTGCTTTACTAATTTTCAGGAAGCCATTATATACCATTTTTGAAAGCTACTGATATCATAAGGTATACATCATTTAGTTTACTGTATATAGCAAGAATGTTATTTAATGAAATTTTTAATTTTGTACTTTTTTATAATTGATTTTTATTCAATTCATAAGCTTCAATTGATTCTTCCATTATCTCAACCAAGTTTAATGCCATTTCGTTCCATTTAGGGGCTTTTAAGACTTTTTATTTAATTTAATTTTTTTATAGTGTACTTTCTGGCTTTCCAAGATTTAAAATTTAATTTACTTTATTTTCGATTTTTTTAAGGAAATCTTAAGGTTTTAAACATAAATTTACTCTAAGAAATCTGCAAAATTTAAAGATGCATTTTTTATATAAAGTAATTTTAGGCCTTTTTTCTGATTTCGATATAATTTTATCGTTTTCAGGTATTTTTTGGTTATTAATAGGAGATTTTTATGTATTTTTTAGATTATTTTCAGGAAATATTTAAATGTTTAATTAAAAATTTTACATTTTTTCGACTTTTTTATTTTAATCATAAAAAATAAATGGAGAGTTTTCTATATTTTCTTTTTAGATTTATTTACGGAAATTTAATCGGTAGTTTTTATAAAGATTTGGTATATTTAACATTAATAAAGGAAATATTCTCTCCTATACTAAATCTTTTAGTTAATTTTGCTTTAATTACATGTCTTTTGTCTCTGTGTAGATTACGTTGCATATTTATTATAGTGTTTTAGAAAAGTCTTACATATTAAGACCTAAATTACCATATTTCCATACTTGAGTTGCATAAGAATGGAAAAAATTGGCTACTTATTTATCTGAAAGTGTAAAAAAATCTATATCAGGTTCATTTTAAGGATTCTCGGTAATAAAAGAAAGTCTACAAAAATGCTTAAAATCTGAAAAAATAATACATTCAGGTAAACCATCATCATTATTAGCAAAATCATGAAATATTTCATGTAAAAAATAAATATTTTCATAAAAATCAGTTTATAATAAAATACCGAAATTTGAACTAATTATTAAAAAAATATATATAAAAAATGTAGATATCAAAATATATATATATATATATATATAAATATATATATATATTAACTATTTAATTTAATCAATTTTTATTTATGATATTATTTAAATTTTAATTTAATTAAAAGTTTATGTTTTCGAAGAGACTAAATCACTTGCATATTATTTTTAAAATTTCTATATCTTATATTATTCATAAGGTTATTCTATAAAATCCATTAATTTTATTTAACCTTAATTCTCATTTACTTCTTTTATTTATTAAGGCAAATAATCGTCTATAAGTAATTCTAATTAAAAAATATCTTATTAAATTTAACATTCACTCTAATATATAAAAATAAAATTTAAATTAATATATATCTAATTTATATAAATTTTATAGAAAATAAAAAAGATAAAAAGTAGAATAAATATATATATATAAATATATATATATATATATATATATTTATTTATATATATATATATTTATTTTTATATATATATATTTACTAATTCATTATTAAGTTCTTCATCTTCATTTTCATTTATTAAATCTTAACCAATTTTACAACATATAATATCTAATAATAAATTTAGTATATATGTGCATATATTATTTTTATTTATTATTTATTAATTATCATTTTTAATTTCTTTATAATAATTTTAAGTAATTATATATTTTTTTGAAGGATTTTATTTATCAAATTTATTCGAGTATCTAATTGGCTCATAGTTATCTAATAGCTGTAAAATTAAATTTCTATTTTACTTTTCTTTCATAAACCTTTCATAAAGTACTGCTAAGATAACGAAATTAGTTTAAACATTAAAATTTTAACACATATCAAGCATTTAATTTACTACAAATTTTTTCATTTTTTCAATTTCTATCTGATTTTTCAGAATATAAAAAAAATAGAAAAACAAGAAACTGAACATAGGATTAAAACAGCTATACATACACTTAATATCTTATAAAATGTCTAAAATTCAACACCATTATTATATATAAAATAAGAAATAATTGGCGCGATAATTAAAAAAGGAAAAAACAACAAAACCATCCAAAAATAGTCAAAAATGGGGCAAAAAAATTCTACATTTTTTCGTTTTTATTCTTTATATTGATTATACAACTAAAAATTCCGAAACAAAAAGGAATTCCTAACATTAAAATTAAGAAAACTGTTTTAAAAATAAATAAAAATTTTATAAATATACATATATATATATATATATATATAATATATCTATTATTATTATTATCTTTTATTTATTATATTATTAATTTTTTTATATTATATTTTATAAAAAAATTAAATTAAATAAAAAATGTAGCAATATACTACGCTTATCTATATTCAATGTTAAT